ATTGTATTCTTTTGGAACAGACAATTTAGCACTTCCATGCGGAAGCAAAGTGCTTCATTTCATGGGCACACGATAACTCATAAGGTGAAGTTATGTGAGGCCAAAAACAAAACTTTTGTCTAGTTTCGGCTTGTCTGTCTCCCAGCCAGTAAAGTTGCATCATACGACTGATTCCGTCTTCTTTTGGACTCTTCTAATGGAAGTAAGAGAGGAACGAACTCTAACTGCTAGCAACGGAAAGTCTGGATAACACTTTGAACTCCGTACTACGTTTATAACGACGGCTAGACACGCCTGTTTAGGTTTGACATCGCAGACGTGTTATTGCATCGAACCACCATATCCATGCGGGTATTTTGTACTTAGATGAAAAGTTCAATCAATCCGATTACTCCAACGATGCAGGTAGAAAAGTTTCCCAAATTCAGTTGCGTCAACAGAAAACAGAGATCTCAGCTTCGAATACCGTTGTCAGATACTTCACCGGAATAGTTCAATTAAAGAAGAAAGTCAACGTGCTGTCTGGGGTTGTAACAATGCACCATAGAAACGATGCTTGCGTTAACTCATCCTGTGGTAACAAACTGAATGTACCTAATTCCAGGGTGAAGCCTTGTCTAATGCAAGGTGATTTAACAGCAGAAGCGTATATGGAGGGCTCCTCGCCCTAATCAGGAATTGTATAGCCGCCGATTTCCATAGATTTCAACCATCATGCGTCATTTTCCTCACTGTTATCACCTGACTTTTAATGAACGAAATTATTATTAGGGTTAAACATTTGATAGACATGTAGTATCTTGAGTTCACTTGTTCGCCGAGCTTCGGAGTTGGGATGCAAACGTTTCATCACCAAGCGAGGTGACTTCGTCAGTGCGCTGCTGGGTCCAATCTAATCCGCTGACTTGTTCGTCGATTAGTGATCGAAAAGCAAGTGTTTCTACAGAACACTCTACGTGAAAACGGTTATCCCGATAGATTTATCACAAGGAACCTGCAAGAAAAATCCAAACCAGTGCCCGTGTTAACAGCATCCAAGGAAGAGTTGTTTATTCTCTTGCCATTCAAAAGGGGACGCGGCTACCAAGCGACTAACCAGAAGCCTTCCGACCGCGATGAAGTCGACCTTTCCAGCAGCCACGTTTAAGTGCGTGCTCTCAAAGGAACCACTGATTCGTTCACAAAACAAGGACAATCTGCTGATGCTGACCACATAAATGGTAGTTTAGCAATCCGTGTGCGCCTGTGGCGCGACGTATATTGGTCGAACGGCGCGGCAGTTATCCAAACGCGTGAACGAACATTGCCCTCCTTGGCTGCGTCAAGGGGGCACTGGGACCATTAGTAGCGCCATTCTGGCCCACATTGTGGACACCGGCCATGAAGTGGATTGGAAACGCGCTTTCCGAATAGTTTGCAAGGTTCTACGGCACGGAACGAAAGGTTACCGCCTTCCTACACTTGCGACAGCTGAAGCCATTTGCATTCGATTATTCCAGTCGTCCCTATGCTCATAGAAGGAGCTGATCCAGGCTCCCCAGCTCCCCTGGCCAGAGAAGATGGAAGACGCCCATTTCGACTGCCCTCGGTCAGACGCAGTAGCAAACAGCTAGCCCTCTGAGACCTAATTCGTTTTCTCCACTCTGACACTGACCCTCACGTGATTCGTTCGTTTTGTACTAACTGGGTCGAGTTTTATATTTAGCCCCCATATTTTTGTGATTGTCTGATGATGAATCATTGAAAGCAATTGCTCACCAAATGGCCTTTCGTTCTTGAGACTTTTGAACTGGCCCCGATCTGTGCCCCGCGACCCTCACCGGTCCGCCCAACTCTGATAGATACGGGCGATCCGTGGAATGGTTTTGCCCCGGCTGTTGTTGATGTGTTGTTTATGGCTCGTTTAGCCGACCAAGACGGGTTCTACTTTGTTGTAAGGTGTTTTAGTTCCCTCCGTCCTAACGTTTGGTATACTGGATCAATCCCTATGTGCATGTTTATCGAACGCTGCGTTGAGTACCATGCTTCGAGGAGCTCTCTTCCTTTTCCGTGTGTCTCCTTTTGCTAGGACTTCTGTGTTGTTCCAATCGAGAGATTGACCCAGTATAGCAACGTTAGGACGGAGGGAACTAAAACACCTTACAACAAAGTAGAACCCGTTTTGGTCGGCTAAACGAGCCATAAACAACACATCAACAACAGCCGGGGCAAAACCATCCCACGGATCGCCCGTATCTATCAGAGTTGGGCGGACCGGTGAGGGTCACGGGGCACAGATCGGGGCCAGTTCAGAAATCATTTGCTGATCGATCACTAATCGACGAACAAGTCAGCGGATTAGATTGGACCCAGCAGCGCACTGACGAAGTCACCTCGCTTGGTGATGAAACGTTTGCATCCCAACTCCGAAGCTCGGCGAACAAGTGAACTCAGGAACCATCGACCCGAGCTACCAGTGCATCAAGTCACTTTGAGGCATGTAATATTTTTACCAGTAAAGTTTCATTGCAGTTTTTTACGTACATCCCCATTCAGTCGGCAAAATAGGCCCAGAAGCAATTGCAGTTGCATCCTATATATATACACAATGCTTTCTTCACACCACAGTATCCTGAAGATCATTGCTCGTTGGGAGATAGTCGGCTTATCTCGAAAGACAAGCACTTTTTCACACGTTGATTTGAACTTTTTCTTTGAGTCGATACCTCAAATTCATTCTCACTTATCAACGAACCACACATAACACTGAATAATTTGCAGCTTAATTGCGCTCCGTGTCAACTGCTAAGCCCTGAACAGTTGACGTGGATGTTCGTTAAATCGGAGGTTTCCAGATGGAGCTATTGACAGAGCTAGTGCTAACTTGTTACCATGTTCATACCATTTCTCTAGCACATTTTCGCTTTTCTGGTGGTTGTTCGATTCTTTGGTAGCTCACCATGGCTTGATGTCATCCGTGAAGAATAGGAAATCGGAAGTAATTGCCCTCGTCAGATGGTTTATGAAAATCAAGAGTAGACGGGGCCCTAGCACCGAGTCTTGTGGTACGCCGCACTCCACCTCAATTGCGTCGGATAGGGATTCTCGTACTCTCACTTCCAACCGACGTTTGTGCAGGAAATTGCCCATCCAACGCAGCAGTAGATCACCAATGCCATAAAACTGAAGTTTATGAAGGAGAATTCGGTGGTCTAATGGATGAAATGCTTTTGAGAAGTCTAGGTAAATTACATCGACTTATGCTCCACCATCAACTGCTTCAGTCCAGCTATTGCGTGCAACTAGCAGGTTCGTAGTGCATGAGCGATTTTGTCGGAAGCCATGTTGCTCTAGTGCCATTATCTTTTGATTTTCCATTTACTGCGGGAGTGCACCAATGATGATAAACTTCATAACCTTGGAAAGCACAGGGCGTAGCGTTATAGGACGGTAAATAGTTGGGTCAGTGGGACTACCGCCTTTATGAATAGGAGTGACGACCTCTCGATTCCATATTGTTAGAATATGGTTCTCCTTCATACAGCAGTTCAGGATTGGCTAGACATGATGTGGGCTAATCGCAGATGCGTCGACACATAAGTGTCAGCCACCTGCTCCAAACCAGTCAACAACTAACCAAATCAGGTTAGTGAAAGCTGGTTGTGTCTCTGAGATGCAATTAAAAAAGCGGATAACGCTGACGAACTAGGTAGTATAACACACATTCTAATCAACCAGTCTGGGACGCTGTTAATCATGACTCAGAACCACGTGGAAATCAAGTGGCCAGTAGCAATTATTCACCTGACCGTTTCTAATAAAATGTCAACAGCCAAAAGATGATTGTGGATGATTTGTATGAGAAAGGTCCTGGATACACTTAATAGTTGTAACGTCCCCTAATTGTCTCAATAGTATAATTGTATCTTCACCTGTATGAACTCGTTAGTATGTGATTACAATCTATCTTATTCCTACCAATCCTGCACTCCCGTCTAACACGTACCGTTTTCTTCTGCTTTGGTGTACTATTTCGGAGATGAACTATCTTTCAAGCTGAAATCTCCGCACGGTCGTCGTTGTTCGCAATGATTTTCCACCAAACTGTGCTTGGCCTGTTAGCAAAAGATTGTAAATGATATTATGCTTTCGATTCCCCATACCCCATATTCTTGCTTATTTCACTGTTGACCATGCGTGGGCTGAACTGTTGAGGTGACGGATTACAGTTTACATGATAAAATAATTATACCCAGGCAAAGCATACTGCTACTAACTCGCTGGCAAATAACAAATAATTGTCATACACGAATGATCCACATGACGAATCTGCCTGGGGATTCATTGCCCATAATGCATGCATAAAACAACCCTAATGAAAAAGACATTTGTGAGACAGGTGACGGCTTACATGCTATTTTGCTACACCGGCACACAGCCCGTTGGGGCACTGAAGTGCGGGTGAAACCCATCGAGGGAATAACCCGCATGGAAGCAGGTCGCCTGGGGACAATTCCATGGGTGGCCTTCTTACTTTACCTGAACTTTTGGTCTAATCTGCATTCGTTATTGTTCCAAGTTTCTTGCTCCCTCTAAAGTTATCAAACTGCCATTCACTGCAGAAATCCATTTGGGACCGGTTGTACGAAACATGAACTATCTACCATGTTATGCGATCTCGATGTACAAATTGATCAGTCCACTCACTTGCATTGTGCCTCACACCGTCGAGGAATAAAGCGTTTCTTTCTTTCTTTAAATGAAATGATTAAATGATGAGCTGGCTTTAGAGGGAAACCACACTGCATTTATTTGTGATCTTTGGGTCATGTGCGTTTGCTAGTTACGTGGAAATTATTAAATTGTTTCAACACATTGGAGTGTTGATCCTGTGCGTGTAACTCATGAACTACTTTTGTATCCCCTTCAGTCTGTTCGAATAGGGTACCACCGTTCGTTGCCATATCACTCGAGACAAACTTGGAGTGGACCGGGGGATTTTTCCTACCTACTATGTGCATATGGAACAGGAGGATCGTAAATACTTCCTGCTCGCTGCCCGCCGCCGCAAACGATCAGCCACGAGCAATTACATCATTTCTTGTGATGCCACTGATTTGTCACGAAGCGCCGCCAGTTTCGCCGGCAAGCTCCGATCCAATTTCGTGGGCACTCAGTTTGTCCTCTATGGGGGCGGTAAGCGAGCTAACAGACGTCATGATGTATCGTCCATTGGGCTGCGTTCGCCCGCCAGCTTTCGATCTACCGGGAGCAGTTGTGAATTGACCGAGGATGATGATGCACAGGATGACTCCAAAGAGTTGGCTGCAATCATTTACGTAAGTGGAGCACAACATGGCGTCGTTTTGCATCAGTAATGACATGAAAATAACGCGTGATTATACATTTTCCGGCGAGTCATGTAATTAAGGACAGCTAGATAGATGCGCCTATCTCGTTTTGTCTCATCATTGCGGATGCAACAACAAGGACTGATTTATTTAAAGTTCACAGTAGGTTAGGAAGCCAATCACGTGTGGTGAAGTGACTAGCGGTGATGGACCTAGGACCACGGAAACCAAAGGCTGACAAACAATTGTTTTTGCACACACCGTGCCGTCTTAGCTGCTTTATCGTCACTGCCTCGGCGAACCGCATGAAGCGTGATGTAGGATGACATGATATTATCTGAAACGTCGAGCCATGGTTAATCTGATGACGAGTCACCAAAGTATGCCTGCATAGTGATGATGCCAGTGGCTTACAAGGGCACGGAGTATTAGAGGAGGGTTACATTTTCGAAGAAAATCCATCACTGAACAACACACAGCCTGAAAACCAGGGTGTATCTGGAACAAATAAGGACGGTCGCTTCAAGCTTTCAGGAGTCACCAACACTGCGTATTCTATGTGTGGCCTATGGGAATAGGACCCGCACTATAAAACATATTGATTTGTTCCACAATCAATTAAAAGTTTAAGCACACATTTTACTTATTATTTGTTTTAAACAAACAATAATCCTTAA